ATTGAATATTTAATAATTAATTCTTCACGCACTTTAAAACTTAAAATTGTATTCCTCTGTAGTTATCAACTTATCAGTTAAAAGCGAATCCCTTACTTCCGATAAGGAAAGAACGTAAGTACATTTTTCACAGGGACTATGTGAAAAGAAACTGTGTTTGATGAGCGTTACACTAGACATTTATTATTAAAGATAATATATTTGTAATCTTCCGAGATACATACACTTGTTGTGTCAATATTCTGTTCACCATCTTCGTTATCTGTGGTTCCCTTAATTTCTAAAGTGTATTTTAATTTTGAGCCATCAAATCCTGAATCTAAACTTATTACACCCGAGATTGGATCAAGTGTAAAGCTGTCACTGTCTCCTCCTATTATAAATAAATAAATGAAACTGTTATATATATATATATATATAATTATCTTTCACATACGATAAGTTAAATATCGCCAACATGGTTTCTAATTTTGTTTCAATACACAGTGTTGTCCAACTTTCATTTCACTCAGTGACTCGTGTTATTCTAGGGCTTCTATCGGTTAACAGAATAATTTTATAAAATGTCTTATTCATTCTAATAAAAGTATCAATTACATATAAACATTGGTTTAATGGACTTATTAAGGTATAAAGACACTTTCAATGTTAATTTCAAGAAAATATTATACTTCTCTTAAGATTTTAGGTAAACTGAATTTGAAATTCATGCTGGAGAAACACAACACAAACGACATACCTATAACTTCCATTTTAATAGGTGTCTTTATTTCGTTTATTTCTACCGTAAAAACTGCCTGACCCGTGTTAGAGTCGCTTGGAACCTCTACCACGTATTGATCTTTCTTAAACAAAGAAACGTCTTCTCGAGTTTTCTCTTTTATGTATACGATAACTGTTGTTTTATCTGTAATCTCAGGTTGTTGTTTTCGTGCAGAGATTTCTAACGTGTACTCTTTGTTGTTTTTAACCTTATTGGAATCCATTGTAATTTTTCCATTTGGAGATATTTTGAATATGCCTTCATCTTCTCCTAGAGTCCAGAAAAAAACATAAAGATACAGGTTGTTGTTTTTGTATTTCAAATAACATTTTAATATAACATTATCAAATAACAATGTGCCCACCAATGGGATCTGATCAAATTATCATAATTGTTAGCCCTAAAACTTGCCGCTGAGGTACCATGTAGCATATTAATACACAAACAAGAATGAGTGAATAATCATCTTAAATCCAATAGCTTATAAATCCAATTCATGTGGATTGTTTAAATTATACCTTCATGCACAATTCAAATAAGAAACTTAGAAACATGTATCTTTATACATAAGACATGTAAATGGCATATTATATTATAACCGAGTGTCACAATTAAAAGGTAATTTGTAAAATATTTCATACATTAGAACATGAAAACAAGAAATTATAATCTAATTTAGCTAAGTTTACGATAACAGTGATTAGAGCAAGGAATTGCTCAGAAGACACCACATTAATACTCGATATACAGAAAGGTGACCAGATGTCACGGTTTTGCTGTGACAGTTCTGTTTTTTCTTCTTTTTTTTGGTAGTTTGTACTAGTGTCCAGTCACATCGAATCACGAATGTAATAGGCCTACTTGACTTGCTCGTTGATGTAACGCGTACTCTCCTCCCGAATGTCATGGATTTTAAAACAAATCTAGATATGAAGTAGCCTATATTGAAAGGAATTGGATATAGTGAACAATTAAAGATTTCTTGGATGTATAATTTGACTATTTTTGGGCATTTGTTTTGTGTCTATTACCAAAAAAAAATAATTGAAATTATTTCAAAAACAATACCACCGTTAATATATTCGGAAATATTGTGGAACAGTTTAATAAATTTAAGGTAGATTAAATAAGATATAAATTATTTGAAAATGATAACAGCAATTTTGAAATTAGGAGCAAGGGTTGGATTGTTCCGGATTTTCTATTTAAAAATCTAGTCCCCCTAGAAATACTTTGATATAAAACTAAACATATATTCGTTAACCATGAAATAAATGGTTACAGTCACTGCACATTTCGAAACCTGATATCAGAGGTGTAGCCCGGGGGGGGGAGCGAATGGGGCCAGCCCCCTGAAAATATCTAGGCATGTTGTGATCACATATTATTTTTCAACTTTTACATATGATAAACGTGTTTTGTATCATTTAATAGAAAAATACAACTTCTATAAACACTGTTACATTTGACTTAATTTGTTTTAATGATCATTTTATTAAACATTTAGATCAATTTCAGTTTTTTAATTCATTGCCCCTCCTTAAAATTTTCTGCACTTCCTGAGTGGAAAGCCTGATTATGCCACTGCCTGATATCCAATATGTTAGTTAACCATGAAATAAAGTACTACAAATTGTATACCTTGATAACCATAACTAGTCTTTCGAGTTTCTTTCATAATTTAAAGCTGTTTTTACAACAAGGTCTAAGCTAGGAGAAATATATATATAACTTTGCAATCCTTCTATAATTTCTGTATTACGAATATAACTATTCATCATCATACAATACTCTATAATTTCTGTATTACGAATATAACTATTCATCATCATACAATACTCTATAATTTCTGTATTATGTGTATAACTATTCATCATCATACAATACTCTATAATTTCTGTATTACGAATATAACTATTCATCATCATACAATACTCTATAATTTCTGTATTATGTGTATAACTATTCATCATCATCATACAATACTCTATAATTTCTGTATTACGAGTATAATTATTCATCATCATCATACAATACGCTATAATTTCTGTATTATGTGTATAACTATTCATCATCACACAATACTCTATAATTTCTGTATTATGTGTATAACTATTCATCATCACACAATACTCTATAATTTCTTTATTATGTGTATAACTATTCATCATCATACTATACTCTATA